CGTGACTTGGGTGTCCTGGTTCAAGATGAATTGGGTTGCTCCAGGCAATCCGAAAAGGCCTCGAAGACCGGAAACCAACACGTCGGGCTGTTGAGACGGGCGTTTGGACAAATAAACAGCTCCATATTTCGACAAATGCTCAGTGCGTATGTTCGCCCCCATGTCGAATACGCCATTCAAGCCTGGCATCCATGGCTGAAACACGACCTTAATGCACTGGAGCAGCTACAACGTCGGACATCTAAGAACGTAATTGGAATGCGCAATCTTTCGTACCAGGAGAGGCTGCAAAAATTGGGGGTGTTTAGTGGAAGCTATCGCAAACTACGAGGCGACCTGATTTTAGCATACTTGATTCTGCGAGACCCACATCATGTGTGTCACCGTTTACTGCGACTCAGCACCAATACAACCCTGAGGAGTCACTCACTGAAAAGCGCAGAACAATACAGCCGTCTGGATTGCTGCAGCTCCATTCGTGTCTGTCAACCGTGGAATGCTCTCCCAGAATCGGTTGTCTGTGCACCGACACTAACAGTATTTAAAAGACGGTTGGACGACGTTCTCGGCCGGTGGCGGAGTGGTATGCGCGTCTGGTTTGTAACCATAAGGTCACCGGTTCGAATCCGCGTAAGGGCGGGCGTCCTCACAGTGGTCGTCGCATGACAGCGTAGCGCCGTTACGGCGTGCAGCTGGCGACTTGTTCTTGCATTATTATTACAATTTGCACTTTGTCACTTAGCACTACGCCTCCATCCTACACCTGGAGTTTACCATGGAATTATTTGTCGTTAACTTCGGGTGCTGTGAATCTAAAAGGATCGCAGGACTACAGCGAAGGAAACAAAAAGTCCTCATTTTCATATGTAAAGTACTAACAGTTTTACTATCATTATTACTGTTGTATCGATATCCCCACCAACTAGCCAACGGGACTTGTAAATCAAAGCTTCTCAACCCGTATAAATTCATTGTTCATTGAGAGGAGCACCCATTAACGAAGCAGCAGTTGACAAAGGCACATCACATTAGCCCCCGAAGCAGTCGAATAAAATGTAAAACGAGTCTGCTAAACGCGTTGCGCCCATCAGGTAGATATAGCGATACTGGAATTCGTGCTAGGGATTTTCGGTATGTCAACCAAAGCCTCTACTCTTAAGCCATTGAAAACTAATCCATTGACAAAAGAAGTGCTTCAGAATAACCCCCTGCTCGTAAAATGTGGCATATGCAAGAGCAATTAGGCTAGGTCGGAGTGTCTGTGGTTATTTGAACCCAAATGTGATGCGGACCAAAGCATTACCAACGTCCATGAAGTGTGGAGTAAACTAGCGTTGTTAAAACGGACAGGAAATGAGGACATCCCTTTATCGTCGTATCCGTTGGCACTGCCGCATTTTTCAACATTACACGAGGTACACGTTTTTAGGCAATAGACCACCGGCATCGAGAATTAAGGGACCAAAGTAAGGTATGTCAGATTCATGGAGGCACTGGCTTTATTTCCATCATCATCGGTGAAGTAATGACACCCGCGAATGTCAAAGTAGGCAGTTCGGTTGTGTAAAGCATGTTCGGTTCAACAGCCTTGCCTCAAACATTAATGACAACAGTACTTGTGACAATAATGTAGCAGGAATGACGAAAGAAGGCGAAAGCAACAGATGCAGCAGGTAACTGTCACAAACGATCGACAGCACATGTGCATCTGTTGCATACCATGAGGTGGTTGACCACAACTCTGGTGGGGAGTGCATTTGCCGTTTATACACACTATGTCATGGATTGGGGCCCAACTTAACCAAACAGATCAGTTACCGTCGTTATCTTCTTTGACCGAGTTTGTTTCCATTGATAAGGCTGCATGTGGCGTTGCCTGCCTGCGAAGCCACATATAAAAGAGTGTTTTGTGAGTTTAAAATCCCCATGCTGTGGCTTCTGGTACCGTATGCTGACATGGGGATAACTCCTGAGTTCTGCAATGTAGGTGGAGTGTACCAGAACGACCCTACCGTTATTTTCTATTCACAGACCTAATGGAAGCGAGCATGAACGAGTATGTCCGGTTTGCGCTCTGTGAAGGGGAAGTACAATCAAGTGGTCGAATGACAGCATATGATGAACTCTCATGGGGTCTGGCTTATCATGGCATTTCTGGATACGATATTACATGGCGTTATACTCTTCTCCACGTGTTTCGCATCTTCTAATCACAAAGCACGACTGCAGCGCCGAGCAGACACATACCACTGCTATTCACGCTCACTGGCCAGTGAATGCGTTTGATCGAGTCACGTAGCTGCGTAATCGCACGGGCTCGGGCGACCACAGCACTAATGGTGCTGTTGTGCGCGCATGTAAAACTTCAGCTGGTCCTCAAAAATCAACCGTTCATGGTGATAATAAGATAGCATACTAATTAACTATGTGGCTTATAAGCCGCAGTGTATCAATGTTACCGTACGCATCAAAGTATCTCTGTGCTGAGGATATTGGCGAAATATTTGACCTCGGAGCTCGGTGCAAGCGCTCCAGGACTCATGTCAGGTGGAACGACTAGATGAATGGTACTGAGATCCAATGAGCGTGTTCGGCGAAGCGTAGTTTGTGCAGGAAGAGTGAGTGAATCGCCCAGCACGGTTATATGAGGCACTAGACTCCGATGACTAGGCCATGTGTTGCGCATGCCAGCACACCGACGCCCGCGTTGTGCGATGTTTGCGCGACCGGGGTCTGGATGGAAGAAGGGGAGGCAAAGTGACGACTTAATCAAGAGGAATGAAGTCCATCACTTCGAAATTGGCCTCCGTTGGTGGCTGCCGACTGCCAGACTGGGGTCCCAAGAACGATGAACATGTTTGGTTGGATACAGTAGTTGATATGGCGAAGAGTCGATTCCAATAGCGTTTGTGTTGTGAGTATGTTTGCCTGTCCTCCAACAACGATCTCACACTGCATGGATAATGACACTTAGGAACATAGTATTTGAGTCTTATTTGTTGTAATCTGTAATGTTTAATATCTGGCCCTTCATATATTTTATCTTTTGCATTGTGGCACAGTTATCTAGGATGTGTTTCTCACCTGCAGCTAATGTGTAATGATGATGATAACTGATGTCTATCATCTAGCGCTTAGTTAAAAGTCACTGGTGCCACAGTTCATTGTCTAGTGATTTGGAATCAATTACGCTGGGTATATATCATCAGCATTCTATAAGATACAGAGCCAGCGAAATAATGAAATGGAACCAATAAATCCAGAGACAACAAACAAAAAGTTACAAAAAAGCTTTTTTGTGTTTTAGTCTTATCTTTTAATATTTGGAGTTAATTTAAGAAAAGCAAGACAATCATTCGTATACATTTCCCATTGGGACCGGTTCTGTGCAATATCTGAAAGAGTTTCCAACCAACGGCGTTCTTCGTCGGATTCCCCCATACAGGAAGACGCACCGGACCTAGGACAGCCAAACTGAAAGTCAGCGCTTTGAACGTTTGTCGCCACTTGATAGACTGACCACTGAGTCATTTTCTCCGGCTTGGTCTTGTATCAGCTGTACGCCGCAACGACGCTTCGCTGCCGTGCGACCGCCACCAGTCGTCGCCCCGTAGTCTAGTGGTAACGAGCTTGTCTCGTAATCTTGCAGCGCAGGTTCGAATCCACGTAGGGGTGGGCGTCCTCCCGGTATACTCAGCTTGGTCCCGGGAGAGCGGAGAGAGCGCGTACGGACAGTCTTACGCATAGCATGCATAAAACGTAGCCCAGCCAACGTAGTTGGCGCAGCGGTACCAGTCTATTAGGTGGAAGTCCCGTGTTACCCAAGACGCGACGTCTAACATCATCGTTGCGCACGTGGTTTGTCCACCACACTCGAGCTATTCTCCGCAGACATCCATTGTCAAAGGCCGGAATCCCACGCAAGTCATTCACGAGTCGGCCAGGACTCACTCCCATACAGCAGCACCGCGCGAACACAGGCATTGCAGACCTTGCCCTTTAGCAATAGTGAAACGCCACGGCGTCCCCACAGATGCCTCAAGTTGGCGAAAGCCGAAAGGACTTTGGTAATGCGGAGGGAAATCTCTTTTCCAATGCTACCATCAGCAGAGACAGCTTTCTAGGTAAGCAAAGTTGTACACTTGTTCAAACTGCGTAGCTTGGAGAGCGAGCCCTGGGGAAAGTGGATGCCAATGCAAGACCAGGACTTTGCATTTCGTAGGAGCAAAGGTCATGTCATATTTTGATGCTTCAAACGACAAGCGGTTTAGAACGGCCTGTGTGCTCTGTGCGTCATTACACTGGGTAAGTTATAGTCTATGAATACTATCGGAAAACTGCAATGAAGTGCTTATCTACACCAAATCTAATTGGGCAGAGTGATCGGTCCGATGAGGGGAAATGAAGAATCAGATCGAGAAACGCAATTGAAAACCGATGCACTGAAATCGCTTTGTTAGAGAAGGGCCTCACAATAAACAACGACAGGAGTTAAAGGAATCGGGAAGTCAGTGGGATCGTGCACTCATCACCTGTCATCCAAGGACTCTGACACTTGCTACGTTATTTTCGGGCTGATTAATTTGTTTGTTTCACTTTTCTTCTCATTTTGAACGGCATTTAGACGGCGCTATAAACTTCATGAAGCAAGCTAACGCAGACGAGCAGAGCAGACTTAGTTGTTTGATTGGGTGGATTAGAGGGTGAAAACAGGAGTGCTGATGACATTCAACCACCATCATAAGGCTCTCACAGGAAATGCAGAAAAGTGGATTTGTAGAAAAACAAGAGCAACTGTGGTCAGAAAAGGGGAGAATTTTTGAGCTTGAAACAAAAAAGCCAGAAGTCAAAGTGAGCAATCCGAAAATGATGTTCAGAAACAGAGCCAAACCAAATGAACTGTTTAAGGGCAGAGTAAATGAGTTGCTAGAGAACGAACGGCAGAGGTAGTGCGAGCAGGTCATTTGACACATGGAACACATAGAGTTGACATATCTTACTCTTTTCAGACCGAGGCCTTGTTCATGCATATAGGCTAAATTGAACATAGCCTGTGGGCTCTGATGTGCTTCGGATGCGATGCGATACTGTTGGACGGCCTTCACATAGTCTACTTCCGTACCTCGTCCGTAGTAATGACAATCACCAAGCTTGATACGAGAGCTAGCGGAGCCTGATGCAGACGAAGGGAAACGCAGCTGAAAACGTTAGTTTGGGGAAAAAGCGACAAAGAGGGATGAGTAAAACCAAGTGGTAGTCAAAAGTGTACCTTGTGTGGCCGATCGTTGCCACTGAACAACGGCACGTGCGAAGAACTCGGATTTATCTACCACCGTAATTTTACCTGGGAAGGAGAGAAATAGGCAAGAAATATCTGAAGCTGTTTACACAACAGTTTCGTGATGTACAATAGTGTAAATGGCTTATTAACGGCATACCCGGTGGCACTCATGGAGAGAATTAAAGAAAACGTGCGCCAGCTAATCAGTGGTGTAAAAGAACTTGTAATTTTGCAATGCCCGGTAGTACCCAAAGGGCCGCACAACGGCATAAAACGAAGGCTTTTGGAGTGGGTCGTGATGTGACGCCGTGAGGCCACATATACAATAAAAACGGATCCACATGGAGAAAAGTCAATGTCCACTGCACAATAGAAAGGCGATCAAAATGCCATAAGCGCAGCAAGTGGCGCTAACTGTATCACCTAACTATCGCATAGAATGATTAGCAGGAAAATAAGAAAACGTTCACACATGAAGGCAGTAGGCGGATTCTGGGGGGTCTGCGGAATGCAGCGGCTGCACGGTAGTGACAACACGCTGCGTTGTCACCAAGACCAAAGCACACGCCTACAAACACCAGAGCAGTACGGCAAAAAGGATGGAATAGATCGGATCCGATTCCACCAGCAAACAGCACAGGAGATGTTATAAATAACGTTATACATGATTGGAGAAGGAACGAAAATGCAAGCTGTCAGTGTGGAGGTTCATAGGACAACAAGATCGAAGAAGCTGATGTGACAAAATTCACAAATGAAGGCAACTAGAGAAACAGATAGATTTTCTCTTAACCCAGGAATAATAGCAGTAAATCTTTTAAACCAGTTTGAATGCAGCATGAGAGAAAGCCAGATATTTGTGGATGTTTGTGAGTAGTGTAAAGTTCGTAGAAAGTAGAAGTCACGATTAAAATTCGCACACAATAATGTGCCTCGACGGGGAATCGAACCCCGGTCCAACGAATTTCCGGTCCGCTGCTCTACCACTGTCCTATGAACCTCCACACTGACAGTTTGCATTTTTGTTCCTTCTCCAATCATGTCTGTGCAGATCTGAAACGACTACCATTTTTCGACAACCGCTGCTTTTCTTGTATATTGCCCCTATAACCGATCCATCCCAGTTAGCTAGGAAGACCTTTTCCATCCAGACCTGTTCGAACAGAGAGGTTAGTGGTTTGCACAGGACCTCACCGGTATCTTTAAATGGTGCAGGTGTGGGGGAATTCGGGCCAACAGCTCGAAAGTGAGTAAGGGCTGTGGTCGCGTTGCGGACATAAGCTTCCGACGGAGCCTCTAAGCCAAGTGGCCATCGCTGAGCCTGTAGCAGATGAAGAGCCAACTGAACTGCTCTTGAGAATGCACCGCCCAACGAGCCAGCTGGCGTTCTTTACTGTGAATACTGGCACTTGCTCGTCAATCGTCGGAGGCGCATGAAGTGCCTCCCGGTAAAAACCATGGAAAAAGGACAACGCACCAGGGCAAGATCAGAGTTGACCAGAATATTCCATAATGACCGACAATCCAGGATGAGACTACGCCATCAATAACTCATTGCAACGTGATCTAGTTGGGCCTATCATTGGCCAGCTATAAGGCACGGCAAGCAGCACTTCGGCACCCACTGTTTAAAAGCGGTGCCACTAAGACACAACACAACAGCAGCAGTACATCAGCCATTTGAAATGATGCTTCGCTGCCATTCAACCAAGATGACCCATGAAATAAAGAATAATATGATGGAGAGAGGGGGGACTTACGTGAAAACCCTAATGCAATAAGTAAACATTCAGGGTCAAGGCACCTACAAATTGTGTAGACAATATGCCGTCACAAACAGCTGGTTAACGTACAAAGATAAGGCAGCATCAGCTACACAGCTTCCTTGCGGCTTTCACTGCCACGCGTCATAATCAGCCATTACCCCGCAGATAACTCAGCACCAAACACGCTTTAACCAGGCAATCCGATTAGGAGACGGCAGCAGACGCGCCACTGGTGTCAGTTGCGAGTCATGACCTGTAAAGTCTCGAGCAAAGCACAAGGTGAGTCACGTGGACTCCAGCCCAGAAGGCGAGACGGACCAACGGCACCCAGTTTGGTTGTCAGTGACTTCATTTCCCGCTGCCAAGTCAACTTCTGTCCACCTCGAGCCTTGCGCCACCCTACACCTGGCAGACTAAACAAGTCCCTCCTAGGTAAGCGGTGACCAGGCATACGTAGTACGTGCCCGAGCCAACGCAACTTATTCAGTGCTATCTGTTGTTCTAGGCAGCTAGCATGATTATCACCACCTAGTACTCGCCTACGCACATCATCGTTGCGGACACGCTGGTGCCATCCGACTCCAGCAATGCTTCGCAGACAACGATGATCAAAGAGTTGAAGGTGCCTCAGATCTTCAGACCGAAGGAGCCAAGTCTCACTACCATACAGCAGAACGGCCCTCACTGTGGCCTTGTATAGCCGGCCTTTCAGACGGAGGGAAACTCCCTTCTGTCACCAAAGATGCCGCAGGTTCAAGAAGGTAGCTCTGGTTTTTGCAATGCGTGAGCTGACGTCAGTTTCTATGCGCCCACCGTTGCTGATGCAGCTGCCAAATTCCTCGTTAGCAAGGGTCAAGGGGTCATAAAGTGGCGGGTGGTCCTGCAGCAACACTGCACTTTGAAAGTGCGAAGTGCATACCAAATAATGGGACCACTCAAGACATGCATAATCAAGATCATCTAATCTTTAGCCAGGCAGCACTTTAACAGCTACATCGTGAGATTCCGCAAGGGAACACTCCATGATAGAATCCACGACGAAATTGAACAAAAATGGGGAAATCGGACAACCCTGACGAACGCCACTTGCGGTCGGAAAGCTATCCGATGGTCCATCGTACGCCCTGAAGCGGCCTGTAGTGTCCGAGTATAGAGCATGAAGGATGTTCACATATATCGTGGGAACACCATTCCGCGCAAGTATGTCGAACAGAATCGATCGATCGACTGAATCGAACGCACTCTTGAAATCGAGGAACACAGCTATTGGCGGTCTGCGGTATGCGTGGCGCTGCTCTAGCACCTGCCGCAAAGTGAATATATGGCCTATACAGCCATGTCCTGGGCGGAAGCCTGCCTGCTCTTCCCTAATCTGAGATTCTCGTTCCACAGTGAAGCGACGAACGAGAATCGACGCCAGTAATTTTGTCACAACTGGCATTAGGCTAATACCCCTGTGGTTAGAACAGTCTGTGCGACTGCCCCTCTTGTATATTGCCACTATAATCGATTCGCTCCAATTAGCCGGGACACTTCCTTCCAGATACGTACGAATAGGGAGGTCAGTGCTTCGCAGAGGACTTCACCTCCATCCTTAAATAGCGCAGGTGGAAGGGAATACAGGCCAGCGGCACGAAAACGATTGAGGGCTGTGATCGCGTTTCGGACCTCGACCTCCGACGGAGCCTCTAAACTAACTGTCCATGCCTCGTCCAGCATCACCTGAGTAGGAAGAGGTCCGGGAGCAGGGGGGCAGCTAAACTGATCTTGAAAGTGTTCAGCCCAACGAGCCATACGGCGCTCCTTATGTGTATCAGCGCACCCGCGCGGTCTCTGATTGTCTCATTTACGCCTGGTTTTCTGGGACCATTGGTGCGCATCAGCTGGAAGAGCTTGCGCTAATTGCCTACTGCTCCTGCCTCCTCCATTTCTTGAGCCCTACTGGTCCACCAGGCTTCCTTGTCAACAAGTGGGCTTCGCTTTAGCTCTCACCTAAATAGCCCGTCTGGTCACATTGTGTTCAGAGCCAGCCGGGAGGTGTTTTCTAGATTCTGACAGGTTCACCGGCCTCTCGGATATCCAGTGACTGGTGCGGTGACGACTGTTAGTGCCACAAGCAGATGCTCCTGTGTAGTGCATGGCGGCCGAGATCCTATTCCACTGAAGCTCAGTGTCATTAGAACAATACAGCGAAAGTTCGGTACACAGCGCATCTTGATAGGCTTGTTTGACGGAGGGCTGAAAGAACTTCTCAGTTGTCAATCGGAGGAGACGCTTGGTGCTCCTCCCGGTAAAGTTCATGGAGAAACAACAACGTACCAAGGCATGATCAGAGTCCACGCAGGTACTCCAGTACGAGCGGCAATCCAGGATGGAACCACGCCGTAACTTATGGCTAAGTGGTCAATTTGGGTCCATCGCTGGCCAGCTACAGGAGGACGCCAAGTGATACTTCGGCGTCCACTATGTCTAAAAGCAGTGCTACTAAGAAACAACTGGTGCTCCGCACACAGTTGCAGCAGACGCTCGCCGTTATCCGTCTGTTCGGAGTTAAGCCCATAATTACCACCCAGCTGAGCTTCTGAAGAGCTCAGGTGCCCTACTTGTGCGTTCATATCCCTTACAAATACTATAATATCTGAACTAGTAGCACTGCGTAGTAGCGCGTTCAGTTCGTAAAAGAATGTGTCCTGGACGCATTAGAACTGCAGTCAGTAGGAGCATAAGCGGAAATCACAAACAAACAGCGTTTGGTACTACTTCGTGAATCAACCTTAACTGATGTCGTCAAATGGGCTGCACATAAACAGCTGTTCACCGGAATCCAATCAACCAACGATGGCTCAGCCTTGGAGCTTAGAATGACACCTACACCGGCTTGACCCCTGAGTGTTGCATCGGTGTCTCCGGATGCGTACAACCAATAACGAGAGGATAAGGCGGGTGCAGTTAATTCAATAACCTCGTTAGCGTCATTGATCCTAGTTTCGGACACACAACACACATCAATAGCCAGTAGGTCCAAGCTGCGTGCGAGTGCAGCCTGTTGACATGTTTGTCTTAGAGTGGGAACGTTGAACGTCGCCATGGAAACGGGACAGCGTGGTCTTATAAGGGACTGTTGCCAAAAGGCAACCGATGGGTGTTGCTAGAAAATGGCTGCAGATGGTTCTACTCCAGTGGCACTTCGGCTGCTGTCAATTAAGCTAGGAATTATAGAAGGAAGGTTGGTAATGGGGGTTGGGATGGGAGTAAGAGAAACAGGTGGAAAAGAAAGAAGAGAGGCGCCAGCAGTAG